CACTAAGACTAAAAAGAAAGGTGCAACTCACAGTAGTGATCTTTTAGAAATCATCCACACAGATATTTGTGAGTTGCATCCTTAATAGCGATTTCCTCACAGACTGTGAGTTGACCACACAAATAATTGATGGAAATCGCTATTTCATCACCTTTATAGATGACCATTCTTGTTTTGGTTATCTATATCTCATAGCAGAAAAGTCTCAAGCTTTTGAAATGTTCAAAATATTTCAAATTGAAGTAGAAAGGCAACTTGAGAAAAATATCAAAATTGTGAGGTCAGACATAGGGGGTGAATATTATGGACGTTTGATGAAGGAGGAAGACGTGCTAGACCTTTTTACTAGGTATCTACAAGAAAATGGAATAGCTGTTCAGTACACAACGCCAGGAATTCCGCAACAGAAGTGTAGCTGAGAGAAGAAATCGAACTTTGAAAGGACATGGTTCTTAGCAAGATTTTCAAAACAAATTTGCCTACGCTTTTTGAGAGAGGTGGTCAAAACAACAAACTATAACCTAAGACATTTTTTCAAAATTTGGACTTCTAGAAAGCCTAGCCTGCGGCCCTTTCATGTATGGGGGTTGCAAGGCTGAAGCTAGAATCTATAACCCTCAAGAGAAGAAGCTCGATCCTAAAACAATTAGTTGTCATTTTATAAGTTATCCCGCAAGGTCAAAGGGTTTTAGATTTTACTGTCCAAATTATAGTACTCGAATTGTTGAGACTGGTTGTTCAGTATGAAGAACTAGTTGATCAACAACAACAAGAACAAACTGGAGAAAATCATCAACAAGAAAATTCACCTGATCCAATGACGTTGAGAAGATCTGACAGACCAAGAAGATTCACAGCAATTTCGGATTATGTGTATTTACAGGAAGCATATTTTGACATTGGAGATGAGGCTGATCTAACAAGTTTTAAAGAAGCTATGGAGTGTCAGAATGCAAACAAATGGTGGGAAACAATGTTGAATGAACTCAAAAGCATGAAGAATAATCAAGTATGGGAATTAGTTGAACCTCACAAAAGTCAAAAATTGGTAGGCGCGAAATGGGTATTTAAAACAAAGAATGATAAGGATGGAAGAATCGAAAGATTTAAGGCTAGATTGGTGGCAAAAGGATTCACCCAAAGGGAGGGAATTGACCACACTGAGACGTTTTCTCCAATTTCCACCAAAGATTCTTTCCGCATCATTATTGCTTTGGTGGTGTATTATGACCTACTTTTACATCAAATGGATGTAAAAACTGTTTTCCTAAATGGTGAACTCAAAGAAGAAAATTTTATGAGGCAACCTAAAGGGTAATTTATGGTTTGCAAACTTGACAGGGCAATTTATGGACTGAAGCAAGCAAGCAGGAGGTGGTATTTCAAATTCCATCAAACTATTTCATCTTATGGTTCTGAAGAGAACATAGCCGATCAATGCTTTTATCTGAAGAAGTATGGGAGCCGATTTATTTTTCTAGTGTTGTATGCCAACGATATACTTTTGGCTACAAATGACCACAATTTACTGAAAGACACTAAGGAGCTACTTCCAAACAATTTTGAGATGAAGGATTTGGGAGAAGCCGCTTTTGTGTTAGGTATTGAAATTCAGAGAGACCTAGCTCGAGGCCTCCTAGGCCTGTCGCAGAAAACATACATTGAAAGGATACTCAAGCGTTTTGACATGAGTATGTGCTTTGGACAAAAAGTTCGGTTAGCTAAAGGAGATTTAAAGAAGGAGATTTGCCCTAAGAATAAAGAAGAAGAAGAAGATGAGATAAGGAACAAGTCGTACGCTTCTCTAGTTGGAAGCATTATGTACGCACAAGTGTGTACAAGGCCAAACCTAGCTTTGTGCATTAGCAAGATAGGGAGATTTCAGTCAAATTCGGTTATGCCACGTTGGATAGCTAGAAAGAAGATTTTGAGGTACCTATAGAGAACAAAGGCTTATATGTTGATTTACAGACACAAAGAATTTAGAGCTTGTTGGTTATGTTGATGCGAATCTTGGAATAGCAGAGGATGATTACATCTCAACTTCAGGTTTTCTTTTCAAGATGGCAGGAGCAACTTGGAAGAGTGCTAAAGAATCTGGTGTTTCAAGTTCAACCATGTTTTCAGAATACATAGCTTGCTATGAAGCCACTTCTCATGCAGTATGGCTATGGAATTTTATTAAAGACATTAAGCTGGTGGACTCGATTTCTAGACCAAGACAGATATATAATGACAACAATGCGGCTGTTTTTCACTGCATGAACAACAAGATGTCGTCTGGACTTCAACATATTGACAGAAAATATTTAATAGTGAGGGAGAAGGTAACGGACAAACTAGTCATGTTTGATCATATCAGAACTCAAGATATGATTGCAAATCCATTCACAATGTTTTTGCCTTCAGAAGCTTTTATGAGACATGTTGAGAGCATGAGATTATTTCCTAGCTTTGATGCTACATTCTAGTGGGAGTCTTGTTCCCATTCTGATATTTTACTAGTATGTTTATTTTGTTGTTTTTTGTTTTGAGGGGTTTGCATTTAAGGATGTTAATTTGGTTGACAGTTTTATTTATTATTGAATAAATTCTACCATTTTGACTGCAATGTTTTTGCCTTCAGAAGCTTTTATGAGACATGTTGAGAGCATGAGATTATTTCCTAGCTTTGATGCTACATTCTAGTGGGAGTCTTGTTCCCATTCTGATATTTTACTAGTACGTTTATTTTGTTGTTTTTTATTTTGAGGGATTTGCATTTAAGGATGTTAATTTGGTTGACAGTTTTATTTATTATTGAATAAATTCTACCATTTTGACTATTTAGCTGTTTAAACTTATTATGCAATTTTGTTTATGCATGTGAGTTTATGGTCTCTTTTGAGATACTATTGTTTTCATAACATTGCGGACTGACTCTTGCTAAGTCGTAAAGGGGTACTTGTACTGAAAAGCATAAAGATTCATATTACAGATCAATACATATTAAGGTTCGCATTGGTGGGTGCTTCATATGTTTTGAGATTGCATTATGTGATTATAGATGGCATATTTTTTAATAAAGAGAGCAGTGCTTGTCTATAATTCATTTTGTCTAATCACTTTTCACTGTAGCTTGAAGGGAAGGACTTAACTGTTTTAAACTCATGGCCAATAAAGATTATAAAACCTTTGGAAAACAAAAAGCTTAGTGCTCTAGTGTTTGATCTAGTGGGAGAATGTTATGTTTTCAATTTAGATCGGTGCACTAGATACTAAGTTATATCAGGCTTTCATAAGAGATTAAATTAAGTTATACATTGAGGCCCAAAACCTTGTGGAATAAGGAAAGGTTTTGAAGCCTATAAAGGGGTCATATTTATTTCCTTTTTGTGTGAACCGTTTTGGTGGGCTTGGAAGATTAGTCAAGTCAAACCTTGATGGTGAGTAGAGACGACTTGACCTAGCCCTATATAAGCTTAAGGCCCTGCTCTCATCAGACATGTTCTCTAACCTTAATCTCATTATAAAAAGATAGCTGAAACATATCTGAGAGAGAGCAGAAGCCTTGAGCCGTTCCTATTCTTGCTGGGATTGTTGTTGCTGCGGTTGAATGAGTTCAGAGGTCTTGCATTCAAGCAAGATAGCGCCAGATATGTCTTTACGTATTTCAGATTGTGTGAAAAATCATGAACACACACATGAAGAAATCTAACATTGACAAGAAATGACCCACACCAGGAAACAATCCCAGAGCATTTTCTGGCATTGCAAAGATGGAATTCTCTGTTGCTACGCGGAATTTTCCGTAGAGATATTGCTGAAACTATTACTACAGCTCGACATCGGGGTGGCCCTAACCTAGTCTGTGACTGATGGAAAGTTGTACGACTTGCCTTTGTTTGCTCATTCTGCAGAGGCCATAACACATGCATACAGCGTGGCTTTGTTGAGGAAAACAGAGGAATAGAACATGATCACAATTTAAACGGGTTGGTCATCAGAGGGTTGCTCGTTATATATAAAGGTATGCTGTAACTAATTTGCTTGCTTTTTTTTCTTTCTAAAAGGCTTACGAATCACGAGCCAGACTTTGGATTGGGAAGTTGGTTCCTGAGTGATGCTCCTCCACATATTGGGTAATAGGTCATTGTTATTTAGTTTCTTCTTTTGGGTAATAGGCCCCCACTAATTTGTACTTGTGTATCTACAATATTTTTCTACAATTCAAACTTCATTATTTTAGCCTTAAAATCTAATTAACGTCTTTTAAGGTTCCGTTTAATAACCATTTCAATTTTCAATTTTAGTTTTCAATTTTTGTGCTAGAGTATGGAGGGAAAAGAGGGAGAATGTGAATGAAAATAATGGTGAAAATGGGATTGGGAGGGAAGATGAGAGGGAAGAGTAACAAAAGTGAAAACAAAAACTAAAAACTGAATTCTATTTGAAATTGTTTTCACTTTTATTACTTCTCCCTCCCCTCTCATCCTCATCCTCATTCCCATCTTCACTCTCATTTTCCTCTATACTCTAGCACAGTAAATGAAAACTAAAAACTAAAAATGAAATAGTTATCAAACGGGGCCTTAAAATTTTCACGCCCTTAATATCGAATACCTCTCATGACTTATTTCAGATTGCTTGAAGAATGAGTTTGGAGATTCAATTTGTTTTGCAGCATCTTCCTACTATATATTATATTAGGTTAACTGCACAAAACAACCCAACTTTTGGAGGTAGTTTTAAATTAGTACCAAACTTTAAAAAATTTGCACGTAAATTCCCAACCTCAGGAAAAACATACAAATTAAAAGCCACACAATCCCTTCTCCCAATGTAATCAACAATCCGTTTCTAAAGAACACAACTTTACTGAATTAAAACTAAATAAACAAACAAGCATACTCTCCACAATTATAAGAACCACCACAACAAAAAGGAAACTTCAACAGACGTGAAAACAAAACCAACAAATTGTCGGGGTGTGGGCTAATAAAATTGGAATAACATTTAGCTCAAAGCTTGGCATTGGCAAATGCAGGCAAGTTGGATCTTTGAGGGAGCTTTAATTCTTCATCACCATCCAACTTAGAGAAGTAGTGATCAACCATATGGTCAGTGATGAGCTCCAAACTGGAAGGCTTCCACTTTGGTTTCTTATCCTTGTCCCACACGATAGCTCTGCAACCTTCTCTGAAGTCCTTGCTTATTTGCCCTCGCAGTACATGGCTAGTTATTCTGTACTCGCGGACAAGGCATTCGTCAATTGCCTGCACCCTTCCTTCTCTAATGGATCTCAAACAAATCTTCAAGCTCATCGGCGACGCCTTCTTCAGTAAACGAATCGTCAAAGCTAACCATTCATGACGATGGTCATCATCTGCCATGTGTGCTTCTGCAGCCTCCCTCTCAAGGGCACTTAAGATTTCTTCAACAGTTGGTCTGGAGAAGCACTTGTCAATGACATCCAATTTGTGAAGAGCACTTTTCTCGTTCAGAGCCGGTTTCTGTAGGGAGTGTTCGTCTATAATTGCTGAAATAAAAGCAAGATCAAAGCTTGAGGAAGTAGCTGAAGCTGCTCTGGAAATCAGAGCTTTTTCCAGTAGAGGCAATTTGGCTGAGGGAAGAAAGTGAGTTGCTAGACCACAAGCAAGCATTTCAGCACCATCCAACCTGGCACCTGTGAGACCCAAATACTCTCCAAAAAATCCAGGAAGTCTTGACAAGAAATAAGAAGCACCCACATTAGGAAAAAATCCCAGACCATTTTCTGGCGTTGCGAAGATCGAATTCTCTGTTGCTACACGGAATTTTCCGTGTACTGAAATACCAACCCCAGCTCCCATGGCAATCCCATTCAGAATTGAAACCTGCTTTGTTTTTATAAATAAATAACAAAAGATGGTATTGAAAGAAATTATATGAAAACTTCAAGTCTAACAAAAGAAAGTACAATGAAACTATTTGTACCATCTTGACTGAACAGATGCGAGAGATATACGTCATATGGAATACTAATTGACTAGTTGAGATGATACATATAGCACTTGCCGAAGTATCCGAAAAATATTTAACACAGATTTCAAAGCTAGACATTATGGAAATTAGTTGCATACTTGCCTGGGGTTTAGTGTATGTTGCTATCAAATAGGTTAAGTTGATGATCTTCTGACTAACTTTTTCACCATATTTCAGATTTCCTTCAAGAAAGTGACGATGCACGGCGGCTAGATTGCCGCCAGCACAAAATGCTCTTCCTCTACCCTTGAGAATGATCAACTTGGCATTGGCATCGTCCTCATAGGCCAGGAAAAGTTCTGACAGCTGAGAGATCATTTCAAGGGAAAGGGTGTTCAGTTGGCGAGGCCTGTTCAAGGTCAATGTTCTCACGAACATAGTCTCTTGTACTAGAACCTGGTCATCAAGTTGGAAAGAAGCCATAGGATGGTTAATTAACGTAATAGAAATAAAATCGAGAAGTGCTCTGAGAGTTTGAAACCTAGGTTAGAAAAGATGATCGGTGGAGGAGGAATTTGAAGGATAGCTTTTTAGTTTCTGGATATACAATAATATATTGGGTACCCAGAAAACGAATAAACTAAGCTTATTTATAGTGGTGCGTCTGAAATTATGGTCAAATCCCACATTACTACTTGAAATTTTGATTTTATACAAAAGGTCTCGATTTTATTAGGAATGAGTTTAGGGTTTTGATTTTATACAAAAGGTCTGCAAGCTTTTCTTTCCCCGATTTCCCTATCAAAAAACAACAACAAAATACTTATCTTCCAATATGTCCATTGAGATGGTGGTTCGAAAAGAGTGAGATTCGTTTGTCGTTCATGTGGATTTCCTGGTTGCTACTCCTTGCGGACTTGGTTACAATACCAAGCAGTTCGAAATATACAAATCCAGCAGCATGACTACAAATCTCATGATTTTTTGCTAATTTTAATCCATTTTCGCAACGTCGCTTGTTTATGGCATATAATATCCTAACTGAGGTTAAATTTTTAGTTTAGACTCTTGGGAGTGATCAACCGGTGGCCGTGTTTCATTCCTTAATGTCCATATGAAATAAAAACTCCTATAAGAAGATTGCATTTTCTCCCATTAAATTACATATACTGCTGACCCGAAAAATTACATGTAGGGATACATAAACCATATCATGCCATCACCTATGGGAAGAGAATTTATTTAATTTTTGGTGTTGATTGATAGGAAAAAGAGAAGAGAACGATAGATTTTAGGGGGAGACATGCAGAGAAAGGAGGGTAAAAAAGATGAAGAAGAACCGCTGTAGGACATTGAGCTTTCCGTTACTCCAGTTAGGGTTTTTTTCTTTTCATTTTTTTAAATTAAAATTTTATTTTAAGGATAATGGGTCAAGTAGTTTAATAACTTTGGATTAAGTTTTAATGAGGTGGCGTGTGGAGGATAAAAGTCAAGCAAATCATAGCAGAGATAATCAAAAAAGAGGATCCGAATTCGTTAATTTGGAGATAATATCAGTGTTGCAATCGGTTTCTGACCCATCTCTTTGAAAATTGACAAGCGGTTTTTCACTCATTTATCTATCATTCAACTTGTACATGACTTGGTGCAGGCAGATAGAACTTGAGGCTAGTGGCCTTTCACTCATTTATCTATCATTCTATTAGCTATTTCACATCATACTTAATAGAACAAAGCTATCGGCCTCACTTCATTATTGATGTTTGGTAGCTCAGGTGGGGAGTTCTCTCGGTTAAACCACATTTCATTGATGGAACAACATTACCATATCATCACAAACCACAAGTATTGCTCTTCACTTTTCACTTTGATTTGCTATTCCAACCACTATCTTTTTGTAGAGTTTTAGATTACCATTCATTTGTGTGGCCTTTGTTTAGCCAACATGCATATGCATCTTACCGAGTTCCTTTCTAGCCGACATCTTCTCCACAATTAAGACCCACATCTCACAATTTTGAAAATATATCTTCTTTTGGTATATCTATGTTGTTTGATATGTGTACTTAAGGGAGCATGAATATGAAGGGAATAGGCTCTCACTTTTGGTTTCCAGTGGCAACAAACAATGGTTATCATTTTCATCATGCACTCTATTAATTCATGGATCTTCGACATTGGCATCACCATCAATCTCATTAATTCTCTTCAAACAAAAAAACAAAAGACGCACCCTACCACACCCAAGCAGAACCTGTTCAGTTTTCTCTCTCCATAATCTTAACCAAAAGGTACAAGAAGAATTTCACAACAAAAAAAGAGAACAAATCGACTGGGCATAGAAACTAAGGGGTAGATATATATAGGAAAATTAAACACACAAGTTTAACCAAAAGAGCTGCAAACATGTCTATGTCTATTATAGTTTTAGACTTGTAGCTAGGCGGGACGAGTACGGGTCACAACTGCAGAGACCATTGAGTTCATGCCACACATGGCATGGCCTCGGCAAAGACGATAATACCCATTCTCTCCCCATCGCTCACCCCATGAATTCTTGATGATCCAATATGGCTTGTTGCGCAGCCTTAGAATGGAGTAGCCCTTGGCACCATACCCCACAAGTAAAACACCATGGTTCACCCATTTCCTGAAACAGATTAGGGGGCACGAAACACCGCCGATGTACGTTTGCATAAACACAGCATTCAACCCGACTGCAACATAAATTGTGTTAAGCATAGTTACATAGTTAATTCACATTTTTTTCTCGTCACATTATATGGAGCTGAAGTACTAACGTTGAAAGATGTCTTAAGTTTCAAATCCCATGTCTTTGTAGTGTATATGTACTTACTGGCAAGGGGACCATGGTGGACTAAATTGGCTGCAATTTGGTCCTCATCAATAGGAATGGTGCTAAAATTGGCAACTTTTACAGCCACCTTGTCCGGATTAAATTTGCATTCGCCCCGTTTTCCGGTGTATGGGTATGTGCTCTCCTCCTCCAACCCTCCCGCTTCAATCAGATATTCGTAGGCATTTGTCATAAGCCCGCCACCGCACCCACTGTCGCACGCGGTCTTGTCTTTCGCATCGCACTTCAAATTGAAATTTAAACAAATTATTAAACTAGATTCGATGAACATCGTCATAAATGTAAATTTGAAACCAGTAATTAAACACCATTATAATTATAATTTAGAGGTCAATTAATTAATTACCGTGCTATCGCAGTCCACAAGCTGTTGCTCACTGAGACTAAGAAGCTTTCCTGTTGCAATAAAATTGGCCCCTTCAATTGCTCCTGTAGTGCTGAAGGCCCAGCACGACCCACACCCACCCTGCAAAATTCAAATCAAATAATCATATCCATGACCAAGTCTCGTGACACAAAATAACTTCTTCTTTTTTTGGGACAGCTTCATGAGGATTATTTGCGGGATTTTTTATATTAATTACCTGCATCTTGACCTCAGTAACAGCTCCTTTCTCTCTCCAATCAAAATTCTCAGGCAAATCACCAACATCCATAACCGGCGGAGCAGTATCCGAAACGCCGTCGTTCGAGCTGGCCGAAGGGACAGCTCTCATGCCGGTGTACATCCGCTCGAACTCCTCCTCGGACAGGTCCGAGAAAGGCGTGACGCCGTGGACAGCCGTCGGATCAAGGGCCTGGTGTTCGGCGGCTCTGATCATGTTCTTGGCGAAGATCCCGAGGCGGTGCATGTACTCCTTTCGGGTCGAATACTTCTTCCCGTATTTCTCGATGAACATCTGGAAGCTTCTCTCTGTCCCCAGCAGAGGGCGGTGATTGTCTGTGACTTGGTGTATGATTGGGTCCTGTGCGGCGTCGTGAACATCGAAAGAGAGGGTGCTTATAAGTGCGCAGGTTAAGACTGCAACGGCATTCACGGAGCATTTTAGAGTTGGAGTTAGAACTGCTCCAGCCATCTTTGATTTCTTCTGTTGGTCCGCTAGCTTAATTAGAGCTAGCCATCTCTTGTTCTTGGCTGTGCTTTTATATTCGGAGCTCATATTTTGTGATTGACCGTTTTGACCTTGATAAAGATGAAAATCTGTTGCTCGTGAGGGGTAATTTTGTAAATGTAATAAACGGTCACAGGCGGTGCTGTTGCATTGGGGGGGTTTGTGTTGTTGCATGCATGCAAACACGTGGAGGTCAATCTGCGCAAGCATGCTACTTTGTGTAGCTTCTTAATTGGTTGGTGCTCTGGCTTTCGTGTGGTTACGAGGGGCCCTCGCCCTGAACAGGCCCAAGGCAAAGTTAACAGCAACTTCTCCATTAGGCCTAGCAAGCAAGACCTTTAGCCCAATAACTCAAAATCCAATTTAAAAGCCATTAGCTTATTTGCAATCATATTGTTCATCAGCTTAAAATAGTAACGTTTATTAACTACTAGCCTCTCTTTACATGCGTTTTCACGTTTGCGAGAGGCTATTTTTTAGAAATTTAGAAATTTATTTTAGAATTGCAATTTAAAAGCCATTAGCTTATTTGCAATCATATTGTTCATCAGCTTAAAATAGTAACGTTTATTAACTACTAGCCTCTCTCTACACACGTTTTCGCATTTGCGAGAGGCTTTTTTTTTAGAAATTTAGAAATTTATTTTAGAATTAAAAAAGATAATAGGTAGTTGTGTTCCATAAAAACAGGATCCATTATTTGATTTTTCTTTTAATTTTAATTTTTTTTAATATGAAAAAATGTGAATTTACCATATTATCCTCATTTAATTAATAATTTCAATTCTTAATATTTGCATTAACGAAGAGCATTTTCTGGTATTTTAAATGTTTTACCATTCTATGCCTTTTGCTTTATATATACTAGCCTCTCGGCACGCGATTCCGCGCCTGCAAGAGGCTTTTTTTTTAAAAAATTAAAATTTATTTTAGAATTTAAAAAGATAATGGGTAGTTGTGTTCCATAAAAACAGGCCATTATCTGATTTTTCTTTTAATTTTAATTTTTTTTAAATATGAAAAAATGTGAATTTACCATATTATCCTCATTTAATTAATAATTTCAATTCTTAATGTTTGCATTAACCAAGGATATTTTCTGGTATTTTGAATGTTTCACCATTCTCTGTCTTTTGCTTTATATATATAGATGATAGATCTTTCATAATATACAAAGATAGACTCTTATTGTTTTTACTCATGATAATATAATTACACTTTAAAGTAGAGTGATAATTAGACATGTCAATGGATCGGATTTTAGTCCAAATATGTGTATAATATACATTTTGATTTAATATACGTATTTAATATTCGGTAAATCTTTAATAGTTAATTAATATCATATAGTAATTTGAATATTTTATAAGTTAAAAAAATTATATATTTTTTCTTATTTAAAACTTCTCTACTTTAAACAAAAATTACTTGTCACGATAAACTTCTCTACTTAAAGAGAAATTTAGAAATTTATTTTAGAATTGAAAAAGATA